CCTTTCTAAAAAAATGAAAAGTCCTCATTTCCACTTCCCCAATTCTGTTGCTAATGACATTTACTCTTACCATGCGTCTCACCTGAAATCTAAATCACCACCATTCTCTCCTCTTCCAAATCCAAATCAGTCACTAAGTTCATCAATCTTACCTTTGTAGTATTTCTTGCATAATGCCTTCCTTTACATCTCACAATCAGAACTCCAATTCCACCTCCCGTCACCTCACACAGCAGCTACAGTAATTCCTCCTACTACCTCTCTCCCCATTACTGGTTTTCTAGATTGTAATCTCCCCCGATTCCAAAAGAAGAGCAACAAATCCAACTTTCCAAAACATGCTCCCATCAAGTCATTGACGGGATGACAATCTACTGTTTCCAATGACCTCCCAACTACCCCATCTGATGAGCAAGACCATCCCCAGTTCTTGTTTACTCACTGCCACCAAACCTTTGCATACATTCCCAGTTAGCACTCTTTTTACAATTGAATTCAGTTATATCTATTCTTCTTTTAAATCTGAGCTCTGAGTCAAAGGCATAACTACTTACAGGGAGCTCAGAGTGAAACTGAGCCAACTTTGACAATTTGCACCTATGTGTAAGACCCTTTGCTAGGCACCGTAGAGGATATGAAGATTTGCATTTTGGTTAATCCAGACAAAACCACCACATATAACATCTTATACGGAAATGCATCCCAATTGCCTCCCTAAGTTACAAACTTCTTGGGTGGCAGGCAGGGGCAGGGGGAAATCACATTACAGTCTTGGTGCCACCTTTATCATAAAATAAGATGTCTGTCTGAACAGGCACCTCAAAACTTGTTTATTTGAATAAATATTGAACTCTAAAAAAATGAGAGCCGCCTAATGAAAGTCAACAACGAACTTTATTCAAATGCAAAAAAACTTTGATCTTTAACCTCCATCTGTATATCTAAGATGTCCTGTTTTTAAAGACAGATTCTTATCTGAGATGTCTGCAAATTTTGCTTTAAAGAAGTTAAATAGGCCGGGCACGGTGGCTCATGTCTGTAATCCCAGCACTCTGGGAGAACGAGACAGTGGATCACCTGACATCAGGAGTTCAAGACCAGTCTGACGAATACAGTAAAAACCCTGTCTCTATTAAAAATAAAAAAATTAGCCAGGCATGGTGACAGGCGCGTAGTCCCAGCTACTCCAGAGGCTGAGACAAGAGAGTTGCTTGAACCCAAAAGGCAGAGATTGTAATGAGCCAAGATCGTGTCACTGCACTCCAGCCTTGGGCGACAGAGCAAGACTCCGCCTCAAAAAAAAAAAAAAATTAAATAAGATGAACTTTCAAAGATCCTTCGAATTTCTTAATTTCCTATGGGTTAACTCCTTGTTAACTCATGGCTCCTCTAAGTGATTGTGGGAATAGTTGCATCAAACATCAAAGCATCCTAGTGGAAAATTCGCAAGCAATCTACAGCAGTTCCAGTTAGCTCAAAACCACTAATACAGATTTCTGCTTTTAGTGAAAGAGCAGTCCCATAAGATATTTTTTACCAGTGTTCTAGAAAAGCAATGTGGTGTTAGCCCAACACAGTACATGCCATCTAAGAATTATGTAACCATTTTCATATTAATCACCGGAGAATTATCTAATAAATATTTTATTTAAGACCACTGAGGAGGACGTTTCACACAACAAGAAATACATCTTAAATCCATCTTAGCCTTGCTTTAAAATACAACCATATGTATTGTGTCCCACTTTATGATTAATGGGACAAAAAGCAAACACTTTTCTTCTGCAATTCATGAAGGAAAGATTACAAAATACTGGAAAACATCATTTCATTTTTCTCTATGCACAGAGAATGAATGATAAGCCTTAAGCTATCAAAATGGTGGAGGTGAGTGGAACAGATTGACAATCAATGCATATAACATTAGATAGTACTGTAATAATATGGTAAAGTTATTAGAGATGTGAAAGGGGTGATTCTCCTCTATATTATCTTATCCTGAGTAACAGCTCTGCAAAACAGAAGTGAAAATTTTCCCCAGTCAGAACACATAAATGGAAGACATAAATGCTTCCTCTCTCCTAGAAGGCAAACAGAAACAGATGTTTCCAGGTGCTAGGCATTTTCCTTTTTGCCAGGGGTAATCTTAGCATGCTCACATTCAATAGTTCTTTCAGGAATATCCAAATAAAATTATTTTAGCTATTCTCATGAAGACGTAGTACCCACAATATAAAAGTTAGTCAGAATTAAGGATAAATATTAACAAGTGCTAGAATTAAAATAAAACTTCATAGGGATAAAAGATTACACAATGGGTACAGTGTACACTCCTCCTGTGACAGGTACACCAAAATATCAGAAATCACCACTAAAGAACTTATCCTTGTAACCAAAAGCCACCTGTGCCCCCAAAACCATTGAAAAATAAATAAATCTTCGTGGTTACTAACAAACAGCTAACACAATTAAGGATCTCACATTATTAAAATGCTGAATCAAGGCTCGGCCATGTTGTGGTATGTGTCAGTGTTATTTATTTCCCAATAATGTTTTATTGTATAAATATACCACATTTTTTGGTCCATTCATCAATTGATGGACATTTAGGTTTTTTCCATTTTTTGACTATTACTAATAATGTTCCATGAACATTAGCATGCATGTTTTTATACAGACATATGTTTTCACTTCTCTTGGAAGAGCAGAACTGATGGTTCACATGGTAACTCTGTTTAAGAACTGACAGACTTGTTTTCCAAAGAGCCTGCAGCACTTTCATTCCCATCAGCAGTGTTTGAGGGTTCCAGTTTTTCCACATCATTATTAACATTTGTTGTTATCTGTCTTTTTAAGTCTAGCCATCCTAGCAGGTGTGAAGTGGTATCTTACTGTGACCTTGATTTACATTTCCCCGATGGCTAATGACGTTGAGCGACTTTTGGCCATTTGTGCTTATGGGTCATTTGTATATGTTAGCTATGGATTTTTCACAGATGCCCTTTATCATGACAAGAAAGTACCTTCTATTCCTTGTTTGATGAGCGTTTTCATCCTGAAGGGTTATCGCATTTTGTCAAATGTGTTTTCTGAATTTGGAGATGATCATGTGGAGTTTGGTACTAGCTATTTTTGTTTTGCATACTTATGAAGTCTACACAATCCTAAAAATGTGTAATGCATTTCAGATTTTTATAAAAAGGTTCAAATTTAAATGAAGTATAAACCCTAAAAATTATATCTGTTAAACAAAAATTATAGGAGCCCATTGTTTTAGACTGAGCTTCTGCACCTAGCCACAAAAGGCCAGACCAAACCAAAATGGAGTCACTCAGGCTAAATGTCATGTAATCAAACTGAAACTTTAAAGAAGCCAATAGATCCCAAAACAGACCAGTTTTCCCTAAAAACAGGAGATTCCAGTCAACCTGAGTCAGTGCAATAAAGAAGTCTCCTCTGTTTTAACTTGCAAAAAAGTCACCGGAAGTAAACTGATGTTGACCAGTTTTTTTTCTATAGTTGCTTCCTTGTTCCCACTTTCCAAACCCACTGTTCTGCCATTGCTGAGTGGGAGCTCTCGTTCTATTTTGTTGACTAGAAGCTGCCTCAATTCATGAATCACAAAAAAAAGACAATTAGATTTATAACTAAATTTGTTGTAATTTTGTCTTTTGACTTGTTTATAACAAACGTTTGGAGAAGTATATCAGTAACATACTTATTTTAGAAAAAAAAATTTATTATGAAACCTATATAAGGACTTTTGAATGGTAAAAATTATAGTTTTCTTTTAAAATTCTACGGGTCTAATTTTTTATGGTTCTACTTTTTCAAGACTACTTCTTGGCTACTTCTGTTCTTCAGAACAGCAACCGAAACACACACTCCACTCAAAGCCTATGGACCACTCTACATAAGCCCAAATTAAACACAATTTCCATGTAGTTGAATATTGCAGAAAGCAATTCAAATAAAATAGAAATGGTATCATCAGAGGATCCGTATTCAACTTAAATAACCAAATCCATACAACATTAAAGAGGATAAAAACAAGTAGTTTCACAGATAGTTAAATATAACTAAGCCAAGTGGTTTTAGGAAAACCTGCATGAAACCTTTTAACTCAGTTAACTGCTTTCTAGTATTTAACAAAATCATTAAAAACAATAAGCTTTTTCTCCATGATTACACACAATCATTTTGTCAAAATACGTGTACGTAGACAATGGCATATTTTCCCCTTTGTGAAATTCAAATTGTAAATGCCATATTCTGTGCAGAATTTTTCCAAAGATGCTAAAAATATGTAAAGTATATTAAAACAGTCCAAAGTAACAGACCTCCAAAATAATTAATTGTACATTTTGAGGTTTTAGAAACTGTACTGGCTAATGTGGCTGCTGCTAGCTAGAACTAGGAGATAAGGAAAAGCTTTCATGAAGAACGTTTTACCATAGAGGAGAATCATTATAAGTAGCTCATCTTACACAGTCTTATTAAAAGAAAGCCTCACTAACATTAAGAACATTTCTTCTGTTTATTCTCCATATTTACATTCAGCCACCGAGTCTTAAAATACAGTGAAGAAAAAGGCATGCCATTATTACCAAGATAATTTCAAAAACATCATTTAAAATCAATTTGGGGGACAAATATCTTCCAGGCATTAACTGAATCACACATTTTCCAAAAACAATAACATTTATATACAATTTGCTTAATTTTGTGTTGTATGTCCCCATCTCATTCCACTCCCAAAACCCAAGCTACTTAGATTCAGATTTTTTGGTTCATGTTTAATTCTCCTGAGATTTCCAATGTGGCATATATTCCCAGAATTTCATTCTAAATCTTTTTGGATACGTAACAAGGAGAAAATGCTTACAAAGTTATAGAGATGTACAAGAACATAAACTATTGCATCATAGGAAGATGAGTCACTTTCCTCTTCACCCCAACATTCAGGATCCTTACACACTGGGATTGCACCACAAGCAATGCAGTGGCCAAAAGGGACTCTTCTTCCACAAAACACTGCACTAATTCTCCAGTATTCAGCTTTTCCACTTGAATGGAATAAAAACCCTTTTGAGAACAACAATTACAATCCCCCCATTTTTTTTTCTCAGGCGCACTATTGGACTTCTTAGTGCATGCACAATGCAAATAAGGCAAGCTTCCTTTCACAGAGTGATTAATATGCAAAGACAGCCTGCTTTTTTAGTAGGATGTGAAGAACCACCAACAAGCCTTTCTAAGCCCAGAGGTTTTTACAATTATTTCCACTGTTTATTTTTAAACAGAAGATTACACAATAACACCAAGCGCTGGAGCTCTAATTTGCCAATATTTTGTAAACAATGACAATTTAGATTTTTAAACCTTTTGTATCATATTTAAATCTATGGTCAACTATTGATTTCAATGTATTAATTTTTTCTCCCAAACCCAGGAAATTCATTTATATGGGACAATACTCAGGCTATACTTTTTATTAAGAAACTGCACTTTATTTTTAAATAGCAAATGAATTGTCTGGCATAAACTTTTGGAAAACTTGGTGATTTTTAACGTTTTTTATAAATTCCAAATGAAGACTAAGAACTGACATTTCCTTCTTGGTAAAAAAAAACAGAAAATCTGCTAGACAAACTCTAAAAGAGCTGTAACACTAGAAATTGTATTTTAATAGTAATCCATCTAGCTTACTTGTACACTTACAAAGATTGCAACTTTGCCAAGGTATTGTTAAATTCAATATAAGCCTGTTTTGATAAGAAAATTTAATAAAATGTGTTCAATAAAACAATGCTACAAAAAACAGTATCTTTGTGGAGTAGATTAAACACATATGCACATTGAATGAGCATTTCTAATCACATTATTTCCTGGATGATTTTTTTTTTTAGCAAATTTTCCAAGAAAAAGCAAACCTATCTGATAGGGCTGTTAGACCTTCCTTAATAAAGATTTCACTTGTCTCATCATTTTTGGTTTTGTACTGTCTCCATGCACAAAGTATCATGATGCAATTCTAATTGTAGAATTACCTGACATTTGCACCTAATATTTTAAGCAAAATATCATCAAAAACTCAAACATTTTGCTCTGTATATAATTTTTTTAAATCAATGCATTAAACATCAAAATACAACTTTGATTTTTTACATTATTTTTTAAAAACTTCTATAGATATAGTTTTAAGATAAAATGTTACAAATGGATAAGACTTAACCATACCAAATTGCATTTCAGCCAAAATATTTCAAAAATATATGTAGATCAATACATGGTCTAAATCAAATCGACCTTCTTGCCAACAGTCCCAAATCCCAAGACATGTGATTCTAAACAGACAATGACATCTACATACTTTCAGGTTTTATAGAATAGATATTAGCATCATTTAAAGAACATCAGCAAGTCATTCAAGATATTTTCGTTTCCCTGTGAAGTTCCAGTGTCCAGCTAGTACAAGGCACCTTATTTCCTGAATTTTCCAGACAGCTGCAGACATACAACCAATCCCATCAAATTCATCTGTAGGTTTAAATTGTTTTCCTTCTTTGTAGTTCTAAATTCTAAAAGCTCTCCCCCTTTGTACATTTAATAATTTTCCATTCCTAAAATTTTATAATTGAAAAAATATTGATTTGTTCTAGTCTGTAAATAAAAAAAGTGAAGATTAAATTCACAGCGAACCTCGTCATTTTAAATCTCTCATGTTGAGTAAGTTAAAAGAGCATATAATTTTGTATATAATTTTATACTCACTTATCACAAACAGAAAGTTTAGTTTTATAAATGCATATGTAAATTGTTAAAATAAATGCACATATTTATAATTTACGTTTTCTTAAAACATGTCCAACTATACATTTATTATTATAACTAAATAATTTTAACTGGGGTTTGTTTGTGAAAGCTTCTTCTCTTAATATTGCACAGGGCAGCAAAAATATAACTCAGTAATATATTGATTTACCTCCCAGCAACTTCAAAATGGTCTACTGTGAATATCTCTAGAAAACCAAATAGTGAATGATTTTTCTGATTTCTTATTTAGATACAAAAGCACCCTTAAACACCTAAATCAATCACTGTGTAAAATGTATATGTTCTCAAAAATAATGCCTATGCCTAACTTGGCCATAAAGGAATACAAATAATAAAAATATTCCTTTTATGAGAAGGAAGGCAGGTGAATGAGCTGCCTTCATGACCAGTTATCTTAACTGAGTCTGACTGGAAATTTAAATTCTGATTCCAAAGCCAATTTAGTTCAAAATGACCTCAAATGGTAATCTAGGGCAGTTAACTGACTCACTTTCAATCCCTTATCTTCAAAGAAAATCACATAATGTTCCTTTTTTTACTGCATTATGACAGATGGTGTTCTTTGATGAAAATTTTAAATTTTAAACACGTGATGAGTCACTCTTAAGTTACATTCACAAAAGGAAAAAAACTCAGAAAAGAATAAATAACTCCTAGTTATCATTTTCTGACATGTCAAGATAGACTTTTGTGTCATTCCACAGAAATAAATATTACAAGTATAAACAAAAAACTTTTGAACATGGTCTAGAATTTTTCACAAAGCTACTGAATGGTATTCATCTTTTACCTCCAACTCCTTGACCAACTACACAGAACATGAGAGTTATTCCATAAATACTGGCTTAAGTCAACAACAAGTCTGGGACATAGCCACTTGCCAATGTATTTGTGAAATTGTTCTTGTTCTGATTTGCAAAATCACTGCCAAGTCCACATCTTTCTATCCAAGAAATGTGGAATCTCAGGCCACCTTGGAATCTCTTGAGAATGCTTCAGTTCAGAAAAGTTTCCTCAAAACTCTTTAAATTGTGAAACCCGTGAAGTTTTCTGAACATTCCTGTTTGGGTCTTTGCCTTTGATGCACCCCTAGAGCATTTTCCTTTTCCTTTAAGAACTACAAGCTCATAGGCAGGTGTTGAACAATGAGAACACATGGACACAGGGAGGGGAGCACCACACACTGGGGTCAGTTGGGGGGTAATAGGGGAGGGACGGTGGGGGTGGGGAGTTGGGGAGAGATAGCAAGGGGAGAGATGCCAGATGTAGGTGATGGGGAGGAAGGCAGCAAATCACACTGCCACGTGTGTACCTATGCAACAATCTTGCATGTTCTTCACATGTACCCCAAAACCTAAAATGCAATAAAATAAATAAATTGGGAAAAAAAAAAAACTACAAGCTTCTTTCAGTCTTAACAATTCTATTCTAAAAGGTGCAAGATAAAAGATTTCAAAAGTCTGCTTTGGATTTTAGCAATTAGAAACCCTGAAAGAGATAGGTCATCACTGGGTCTGAGTCAGCTACAAAATTAAAGCCAATGGACCTTTTCATACCACTAACTTCAAACACACACACACACACACACACACACACACACACACACACACACACACAAACTGTAAGCTACAGGAGGGTAGCAGCCATATATCCCTTCTCCCATACTCCCCTCACCCCAGAAGAAGACTTGATTTTTATTAACAAGAGAGGTTGAACCAGACGCACTTTTTCCTTAGGTATACCAGACTTTGTTGAGGGCTGAAGCACCTCACTGAAAACAGGCGAATTAAATGAAATCCTGGGCCGGGCACGGTGGCTCAAGCCTGTAATCCCAGCACTGTGGGAGGCCGAGGCGGGTGGATCACGAGGTCAAGAGATCGAGACCATCCTGGTCAACATGGTGAAACCCCGTCTCTACTAAAAATACAAAAAATTAGCTGGGCATGGTGGCGTGTGCTTGTAATCCCAGCGATTCAGGAGGCTGAGGCAGGAGAATTGCCTGAACCCGGGAGGCGGAGGTTGCGGTGAGCCGAGATCGCGCCATTGCACTCCAGCCTGGGTAACAAGAGCGAAACTCCCCCTCACAAAAAAGTTCAAAAAAAAAAAAAAAATGAAATCCTGACTACCAAAGAAAAAATACCGCCAATCCATTTATTCCTATTCAGCTTAGAGAAAAACAGTAGTCGGACTTATACCCCACCTGCTGCAAAATTTTGGATTCTCTTAAATCAACCAGTCCAAAAGAAAATGTAAGTACTAATGAATATACATGGATGTCCCCACTGGGTTTCTGCACAGTCGTTCAGTGTGACACCCCACACTGAGCCCCACAGCTTTCAGGGTCTCACTCTTTACTAACAAACAGGCAGGGATCATTAGAATTTGAGGCATTAAATGAAACAACATGAAACACAAAAGGAGACACTACAGCAAAGTTTATAAAGAGGAATTCAGACAAAAAGAAACAGAAATAAGAGAAATGTTTTAAGCGCCTCAGCAATATGAAAGATATTGCATCAAGAAAGAAAAGGATGCTATGTTAGCTCTTCAGAGGCTTCTTTCCCTTCATTCTTCATGTTCCAAACAATCAAGGTTGCCAGATAAGTGCCTTCCAGATTAATGAAGTGTCACCAATATGATCTTTAGCAGCCACTATTATTTAAATACACTAAATTTTATGGCTCCACCATTATAGTGAATTGACAGGTTTGATATTAACCTTATGCAATGGAGAGTCTAGAGAAACCAGGTTTAATTTTTTAAAAATTACTTTTCTCAAAATCAAGATCTACTGGGCTTTGCTTTAACAGGAGGTAAAACAGCTCCACAATTAAACAAGGCATTGCCAACTCAGTTGCAACTCACGGCGATCCTGAACTCTCAGAAAATGAAAAACAAATGAAAAATGTGATTCTCATTAGAATCAATACTTAAATCCAACGTGAATTGTATATCCCTTCACTGTGAACTTCAGCAGAAAGAAAGCAAACAGGAAAAAATTACTGAGCTCACTATGTGCCAGACAGTTGTATATAAACTACCTCATTTCGTCCTCACAATAACCCTATTAGTTGGGTATTATCCCTGATTCACACCTAAATAAACTGACCGTTGGAGATTAAATAACTGGCTCAAGGTCATGAAAAGCAGGAGAGTCACAGTTTGAAATGTAGGTTTGATACCAAAGGTCCATGAAGCACCCCAAGCAGTATGCACTGCCTCCAACACCAAAAGTAGATACTAAATTCAGAAAGAAAGATAATTTATAATTATCAACCCAAATCAAAGAGCTCGCATTGGATCTCCATCTTCTTATGCCCGTGATAACAGACCTTTAAGGCTGCTGAAAATACACCTGAAAGTGTACTCTAAGTCCAATTCTCACATAGCAATTGCAGCTTAACTGGTGACTGGAAGCATCTCATGTGAACAGAATGGATGCTCAAATTGAAAATGAATAAAAGAACATTAGAAAAGTAATCAATCACTCATTTGCTGATCTGATAAAAACAACACATCCAATTTGTGACATGCAGAACAAGCTTCAAAAGATTTTGCTATAGATGCGTTTTTTAAAAGGTCTAGAAATAAATGTATGAATACCATGTGCAATGATGTATCTAAAAATAATCAACTCATATGATAAATGAAGTCACTGGGGAAAACCCCTAACTTTATTCATTTCCTCTGGTGTGAAATTGTCCTGTTGTCCTCTGCAAAGGTTGCTTATCAACTCTCCCCTCCCTCTGTCTCTTTTCCATGGTGATGCCCAGGCACCTTCATGATGAAGCCATCACCTGACCTAGCAGCCCTCCTTTTCTTCTTTCTTTGCCAAGTGTCCTGGATATCAGCTCTTCCTCAGTCTTTGACTCTAAGTAAATAACTTGAATTTCACCATTCAACTGAAATCCCTTTGACATCGCCACTCTCCGCTGACACAAATCCCAAGTTTCTACTTAATTCTCACCTTCTTTATAATCTTAACCACCCTAGGTACTGCTGCCCTTGTTTTTACTGCACGATTTGTTTAGCAAAGCAGTATGAGCTCGTTATCAAAAACTTAGACAACATAAATAGTGATTTATCTTCTTCCAGTCTTCATTATAGAATGAGTGAAAGAGTTGTTTTTTTTTTTAACAAGATTGGGATTATACCTATATATATACTGTTTGTTTCCAACTTTTTTCCACTTCACTTTATTATACTTTCCTAACCTCGGCATTCCTACCACTAAGCTCTGGTTCTCTTCATTTGCTCACTATTACCTTCTGAATTATAGGCAAGTTATCATTCTGTGTGCTACATAAATACTGCCACATAAATATTTATGGGTGTGATAAAAACCCCGCAAAGTACTAAACATAACTCATGGTGTTTTTCTCCCCACTGAAATAATATAAAAATTAGACTACTACCATCTTTGAGTCTTGGTCTCTCTAACTGGGCTTCCCCCAGTCACCTCCCAAACATGGAACACACATACTTACCTCATCCACCCTTCCTCTCAGTGGAGCTAAATTCTTCCTTCAAAGTCTCCTTCAACTCTCACCTAACATTGTACGAGTTCTCCAGTGTCTGCATATTCATTTCATTCCCTGAAGCTTATAAATTTAAAGAGCTTTCTCTCTCCCCATCATCTGCCATTTGGGATCTATCATCCATCCTTGCTGGTTGCTTTACTATTTCTAACATCTCAGCTACGCCCCTTTTATCCTTATCCAAAGTCATTACAAGTGTATCTTTCCAAAATTATCTGCTTTAGAAAATATATCACAGTTGGGTTTCTTTAATCTAACAAGCACCTCTGGCAGTACATACAATTTGATTTTTATACAATTTTTCAGTCAGTTGCTGTCTACTAATAAAATGTACAGCTTAACCACCCCCTGGTTCCCAGGCAATATTTATCCTGACTCTGAAATGTTAAGTGCCTCATTGGCTGTAGAAGCTACCCGGTATTCCCAGTTATCTTTTCATTCCCAATCAGACAGAAAGCTCTGCAAGGTCAAGGTACCATAATTTAGGGCACAATGGTGTGTATCTTCAGTTCCAGCCATGGCTGAGGCAGGAGCCCAGGAGTTTGAGGCCAGCCTGGGCAACACAGTGAGATACCATTTCCAAAAAAGGTATAATATTTAGAGTTTGGTTTGTTTTGTTTTTTCACACCCTGTAGTTAACTGACTGCTTAGATGCTCAATACGTAATTTTGCTGTCATTTCTTCCTCCTATCCCTCACAACCCATTCCATTTCTACTCTATACCTTCTGATGTGCTCCCTCCACTAGACTGTTTCACCCTCTCTTTGATGCTACATTCTTCCTTCGACAACAGTAGCTTCCAAACTGTTTTGACCTGAGCCAAAAGAATGTTTTCCATCACACCCAAGTTACATATTACACACACTCACAAACACACACACACACAGAGAGAGAGAGAGAGAGAAATTGAAGTACTCAAAGCATGCTTATCCTTATATAAAACACACTCTTTTCCATTCCACTTCTCTTTTCCTCCTTCTTTCCCTCCTTCCTCCCTTCCTTCTTTCTTTTTCAATGTATATAGAAGTCCATTAAATAGATTTCATCATCCATAGTTTGAAAAATACTGACCTACAAGTTAAGGTATTAGGAGGACCAAACTTTTTCTAAAACCTAACCTGACTCTTAATTTCTCCAGCATATTGGCAGTATCATGATTATTTCATTTCCTTGAGTCTATAACTTTAAAGATCTTTATCCCTCTCAGTTATCTATATTTGGGAGCTATCATCTACCCTTGGTTGCTTTACTATTTCTAACATCTCAGCTATGCCCCTTTTATCCTTATCCAAAATCATTACAAGTATATCTTTCCAAAATTATCTGCTTTAGAAAATATATCACAGGTAGGTTTTTTTAATCAAAAAAGCACCTCTAGCAGTACACAAAATTTGATTTTTATTTAATTTTTCAACAACGTGTCAACTAATAAAATGTACAGCTGTGAAATATTTTATTTGCAATGCATTTCCCACATATTATCTTATTTTGTTCTTATAGGCAAATGAGGAAGTTACAGGTCAAAGAGTTTACGTAACTGCTATAAATTTACTTGGCTATTTAGTAGCAGAGCAACTTCTTGAACCCAAATATTTTGACTCTAAGCCTAATGCTATCCTTTCCCCACATACAAGTGTGCCTGCTAATTATGCAAGATACTTTCATTGCACTTCACTGGCCTCCAAGTCAGCTTTTTTTTTCTAATTTCAATTTTATATTTTATTTTTTATTTTTATTATATATATATATTTTTATTGCGTTTCAGGTTTTGGTGTACATGTGAAGAACATGCAAGATTGTTGTATAAGTACATACATGGCAATGTGGTTTGCTGCCTTCCTCCCCATCACCTATATCTGGCATTTCGCCCCATGTTATCCCTCCCCAACTCCCCACCCCCGGCTGTCCCTCCCCTAGTTCCCCCCAACAGACCCCAGTGTGTGATTCTCCCCTCCCTGTGTCCATGTGTTCTAATTATTCAACACCCGCCTATGAGTGAGAATATGCGGTGTTTGATTTTCTGTTCTTGTGTCAGTTTGCTGAGAATGATGGTTTCCAGGTTCATCCATGTCCCTACAAAGGACACCAACTCATCGCTTTTTATGGCTGCATAGTATTCCATGGTGTATATGGGCCACATTTTCCCTATCCAGTCTATCATTGATGGGTCCAAGTCAGCTTTAACTGGCTTCCCTTCTCCTAGCATCATCCAGTTGATGTTTCACACAGCAATAAAAATCCTTTCGTTGGCCCTTCA